GAAGCTAGACAGCACCACAGAGGGGCATAGTCAACCGAAGTAAGGCGGAGGGAAAGCCCAAAGCGTCAAGCATGATAGACTGCTCGTGGCAGTAACACTGTTTAAGCACCTGGCTAGTGAAAACACGTGAGCAACGTATCCTCCACCTGAGCAGAAAACAGCCTGGTTTCCAATAATTTCACGTTCGAGAAGACAGTTGAGTCGAAAAATTATGACGTTTATGAGCGATAAGGTTAATGTTTTGATGATTACTGTACGAGGCATACTGTCCAGTTTGAAGAAGACAATGAATAGTAACAGTTGAGAGCATCAATGAAATGCGTATAATCTCGGAGGCCTGATCAACCATAAATGAGTCATTATCACCGACCAACGCAAGCAGGAAAGACTATCAGGTGCAGGTGATTTGCTACACCTCAATCACGTAAATACGAGTCAAAATATTAGACTGTAGAGGTTGTGAAAGCGAACTCTCAAGACCGCTCAGGTGAGTTGGTAGGCTGACCGGCTGAACAATTCCCTAAAATAATTCCCCAAAGTTCAACTACGTCGAGTAAAGAATGGAATAATATGCAAACTTGCTAAACCCTGATTTCATTTGCTGATGCTCTTATTGGAGACTTACTAGGTTACAGCTGAAAAAACAATTGGTAGTTCCCGATACTGTCGGCTTTTTACAGCTCCACTGCACTGGTGTCACTGCAGGGCAGACAGTTCTTCTTGAAATTCCTAAGCAGGTGTTGCCTCATAATGTTGACAGCATCCCTATATAGATCACTTAGTGGAAGGATCATCCATGCTTCGAGAATGCTGACCCGTACTTCAGAAACTAAGCAATTATTAGCTCGAAGTAAGTTAGCTGAGCAAGGGGCATCCAATGCTTTCTTAATGACGCATTTGGAGCAACTCATATTGGAATTAGATTCATTGACTTCGCTTGCCAGTGACAAATAAGGATCCAACTCGGTTTGACAGCCCCGGCTGTCAGACGGTGGGCCCAAATGTAAAGCCAGTGACCCAATGGTGAGTAGTAGGGGGATTTACTGTATTTCTAAGAAGATTCGTCAGAGCTGGACTAAGACAGGTAGTCACCACGCATACAGAAAAGCGCTAGACGGCCGTTTCGTCTTGCTGGGGCTCGTCATTAGCGAGCATCCACCGAATCCTGCGGGATCCGAACACATGAACCGCTCTAACGAGTCACCCTGTTATGCCATGGTGCCAAGGGCGACGGCGGTGGACAGCCATGACTGATATCTAACTGCAATAGAGCGCGGCTGATCCCCAAGTGTCATGCATGTCGAGAAGGTGCAAAGGATAGGTCTGGTCCCCGGAGCTACAACTTCCTTTGCAAGCCGCCACAAATCGATGTGGCATGTAAGCTGCTAAGGCCGTCCACCGCCGTCATCTATGGCTCAGATGGCATAAGCAAATGACCAGTAAGAGTGAGGTTATGGGTTCGGATCTGGAAGGATTGGGTAGGTGCGCGCCAGTAACAAGTCCGTCGGCCGGTGGCCGAGTGGTCTGCACGCCTGGCTTGCAATCATAAGGTCACCGGTTCGAATCCGAGTAGGGGTGGGCGTGCTCGCGCGACTGGTGGTAGTCGTGCGGCAGCGAAGCGCCGTTATGGCGTACAGCTGACACATTATTTTCTATTTTATTTTTACTAACAAGTCCCAATAGGATGAAACGGCCACCTAGTGGTTTCCTGGATGTGTGTTATCTGCCTGGTCAAGTTTAGCTGCGACAAATCTCATTTTTTGGTTGAAGCTACGCGTATTATCGCCAACCGAACATGATCGGGAAACAGGTAAGTGCATAGATCAAGCGATTGTTTCCTACCGGCGGAGGAGAATGAAATAAATGATCAGACGCTAGGGTATCCTGTTGTTCGATAGACATCGGTGGATGGCAGATGAACACTGTAATTGGCAGGGGGTTGGAAAAATTGATCGCATTGCCAGTGTCACAAGTATCGACCGCCAAACGGCCTACTGGATGCTGATCGGTTTCCAATATAAGCCCTTGTCACGTGTAATAACAAAAATATTTGTGTTTCCGATTATATGGTTGATAGTCACTGGCAGAAGTCACAAATGGCAGTCTTCGAATCCCAGATGGTATGAACGCATACTAAAACAACAAAGAGACACGGTTCCCTCACAAACTGTCGAGTAACTCCAGAGTTAAGTGGTCGAACCACGCGCAAGTGGCTAGTGACTAGGAACAACTCGATAAGAGTGCTTCAGGCCGTTCCGCTGAGTTCAACAACTAAACCACAAAGATCCCTGACAATCGACTCCGTGTCTATAAAGGCGCGATAAATAGGGCTTTATCAGTGAAATCCGGACCGAGTAGTGGAAGGTTAGCTGAGATGTTGCATGCGTGATTCAAAAGCATGGCAGAGATCGATTGTAAGGGAGTGGGGACTTGTAGCCTGTGCAGCCCTTTGATCGATCCGATATAGGATGCGATTGTTAGGAGACTGGAAGGCAATTGCGTGGAAAATGATTCGGGTCATTACCAACACCGTTTACGAAGTGATGGACAGCCTATAGTTGAAAAACCTGGGAGGAGTTTACGGTGCGTGGTAGATAAGAGAAAAGGAAAGAAGCGTGTGGATAGTGGATACCATGTGTTGTGCCTTTTGACTCAACAATTGGACCTATGAAGAAAGGGGAGCAGATATTTTAGGAGTATGGTTGGGGAATCATATGGGGGCTTGCTAGATGCCGGTCGAACACAACTTCGTAATATGCAAAACTGTTCTTGTGACTTTTCTCACGCAATAGTTGGTGTTCCAGTCGGACGGCCGGGGACTACACATAGCTTGAGGTGAGTGGTAGTAAAACTGTGAGCAAGGATTAAGCTCTCAACCAAATAAAGATAAAACATGGAAATCGTGCTCCCATGATCATCTTTGGGTCTGAGGAGCAATCAACTCTTTTTTACCCAAAATATCAGCATGCGGAGAACGAGTTCGGAAACTAAGGTTACACTTGTATGGTGCGAAAGGCTTTAGAGGAACCAAGAAAGTTTTCTAACCAAGACCAATGGATCGTGGAGACACAACCTATCGAACGAGATAAAAGCTTCGCACCATTGTAAAGGCTAACAGGCGCAGTGTGAGGATTCAGTGTTGAACCGAAATTTAGCACCGTCATGTTTGGGAGAAACCCATTCAGAGGCAAAAATACACAGTGTTCTAATCTAGTTTCTGATGCGGGATTGATCGAAATAGTGATAGTTCCATACGGAAAGATTTTGAATTTACAGATTGACTGAGCTGATTACTCACTGTAATCTCCGTCAGGTGGTCTAGTGGTTAGACCTGACAATTTGGCTAGGGTCTTGCATAATGATTTTGCCTTCTGTTTGCCAATTGGTTAGCGTTAACTACAGAGTAGGTTACTGGATCGTGAGCACGGATTTGTTCGGAACCGAAGGAGACGCGAATACAGGAATTCTAACAGTCATATAGGAAACAAATCAACTGGGCTTAAACTATGATGCACAAGTGAAGCACGGTAGAAGATTGCGATGAAAATCCAGTGGATAGCCAAGACGGTAGTTACCTCGGTCTGTGCCAATTGTAGTCCGTAGAGTCGATCTCATGCTGGAGATACAGGATCGGTAGCATAGTTGATAACACACAAGGTTCAGTGGAAGCAGTGAGGAAAGTATTTTGAAGATCGGAAACGGCGAGCAGCAGTATCTGGTGGTATCTATTTGCGTATCTATCTGTCAGCCGAGCTATACACAAGGAGCGACTGGGTGCCTCACACTGAGCCATCATGCATGTACCCCACATCCAATGGGAACCAGAAAAACAACACCAGTAGATGGTTTGGGTGTCGCTCTCTCTCCAGTCTATGCACTCCACGACGCGTCATTGCTTAGACTCATCCGGTATAGCCTGTCGGAAGTGGAACTTGGCACATAGTGGTTGGTGGCCATCGCGATGATGACTAGACCACTGAGCTCCGCGAGCAGCGCTTGACACAGTGGTTAGAAGTGGACTGTCGGGTTTTGGAAGACTCGCCGTGTGTCTTGGATTGCGACAAGAAATCGTAATTGTGGCTTCGGTTGACTTTGAAGTCAGTCTGTGCCATTTCGGTCACTGGGACTGAATCCAAAGTATCAATCCGTCTAAAAGTGACCGATGAATTGAGAGGCAGCACACTAAATAAAGAGCAGCTGACTCAAGCGGAATCAGTGTCTTCTAGCTATATGCGTAGGTAAAAGCGAGGGAGCATGCATACGGAACGCACACATTGCGGGGATTGCGTGAACAGCTTCGTGATGGAACCACTCATTGTACCCGTAATTGCAACGGACAGTGTGTAATCCGTTTTCGCCAACAACAGTTTGCAGTATTCTGGAGCCAGGGGTTATCGTGCGTGTAAAATCGTTCCAATGCCTGCAACGATCGCAGTCAGTGCTGACTTACCACTAGGATATAAGCGCAAAGTATGCTGCAACACACGATGACTATTACCAGCGTATAGTGCAACTACAGCAGCCCTACGTTCCACACGGAAGGGTAATTGCAGTGGTTGCACAATGAATAGAAGTGGCTACCTATGAACCCAGCGGTGCAAGTCCAAACCAAGTCCTACCACAATTCAGGAATTCAGTGACTTGAAAGTTGTGTAGCAAATTGTTACGGGTGTGAGCAAGCTAAACACATGGTTTGTCAACAGACGGATGAAAAGCCACGCAATTCCAATAGTGTAAAAGCACAGGAGAAGTAAGAAGGGTGCCAAGAATAAGGTAGAAAAATAACTTAAATAGCAGTTCACTTGATATGAAATACACAGGTTTTACACCGACCGTGAACTGAAGCAACAAAAAGTCATAGAGGTTATGGCATTGCGGTTTAATGAAAACACGAAGAAGAAAACGGGAAAAATAATCTGCTGGATTCTAAAATAAGATAGGGGAAAGGTGAAGCTTTGAAAAACACTGACGTTGGAGGTAAAGAGAAAGCAAAAACTTACCGATGTGGTAGAATTCTCTTGTCGCGACTGAGGCCGTAAAGTAGACCTTCACTCATCATCGAGGTAGACGTAACTGCCGACTGACTGGCGGATTTCGCGCGATTTTTGCAACGGAGAACTAACTAGATGCGATAAGAGGAAGACAGGGGATTTACCTTTTCAAACTGGTAGTTAAGAGCAGCATTGTCGTCCATATCCGCAAACCACTCAGGTGACGATTCGTCTGAGGCATCGGGAAAAGCAGCATGTTCCTGATCACCTACATTATCACCGTATAGAAACCGCTCCATCATCAAAACCTTATCTTGGGACAACTTGTCTCTTGAGGAGGCTCCAATATGTCGAGGCACTTCGTGTTTTGTATCATCCGCTTCGTCAGAATCACCACAAAGAACTGGTTTCCCTCCAGCAATTTCAACAAAATTGTCTTCCAGTTCAGTGGACTCATCTTCAAGATCAGAAGGAAGATCAAAACCCTCGGGAAGCGCAGGTTCGTCGACGACAGGTTCACGAATATCACTAGTAGTAGGATGCTCGTCAGCGAGAGTGACAGACTCATTTTCGGGGATCCCAGTAATGCGCTGAAAATGCAAGGTGATAAAGATTATGAATGTTAACACTGTGGACTCTGTATGTCAAAGCGCAAGTCTTTAGTGTCGCATAAGAGTAGGAAAGTATCAGATTGGACAAACTGGTACTGATGCCTTAATATACCAACCAACAGTTTCGAAACTAGTCGTTGGGAAACTACTTCAAGAAGTAGTTACTAAGCCAGTGAAAAGGCAATTGGTGTGAATAAGCAAACACACATCGGAGTCAATGTTCAGAGGTATATGGTTAGCAGACAAAGTTCACTTTGCAGGTGCTAACATGCAGCATAATTTTGGTTCTGTCTGGAAATTTAAAGCCAAGCCACATCTCAATCCAAACACTGCTAAGCAAACGAAAAGAGATAGTAGGACAGACTGTAGCCTTGATTGGACACGCGGAGGTCGTGCCCTTGTGTGATACAAAGACTTGGACTCACTTGATCTGCCGAGGGGATAGCACTAACCAAACCCCTTCAGACACATTAACGAGTGCCAAGAAGAAAACGGTGTGATTTTCGCACTTTGGACACAACAAAACAACAATGCTTCGGCTTTCGAGAATAACGAGACCATTTGGTGAGCAAATGTTTTCAATGATTCATCATCAGGTCAATACAATGATATATAGGAGAAAAACAAATAAAGTCGACCCAGTTAGTTCGTTATATAGACGGAAAATGTGAGTTGAGCCTTGATGGGTCAGCTGCGTGTTACGAAGTTTGATCTAAGGCAGTTGATCCCTGTGTCTTCCGTTTTTGCCGGCTAGGAATGCTGGAGCGCCTGAATTAGTATTTTTCTGTGAGTATAAAGACGGTTCCGCCTGGTGACGTGGCAACTGCTTTTGCCACGCGGGGCAACTGTATAATTTGCGCACTCCTGGCAGTTGTAAATCCGTATACTCTCACAAGTGCGAATAGCCCTTCAATACTACGTTTCATTGAATACCAATCAACGAGTTCATTTTATAGTGCTGTTTGAAGTGCAGGCGTGTGTATTATCATAATACTCGTGTAAAATGTATAGACACAATTTCAATGCTTTACATGCGGTAAAATTACCGATAACATCAAAATTGTCCATCGGTAAGTTCCTATTCTAAGGAGAGAACTGCCAAGTCCATGAGTTTTGTCTGATTCATTGTTGATCGAAGGTAGCTCGTTATAAGCTTGAGTTTTGAGGAGTGTTCACAGTTGGCTAGCTCAGGTAAAGAAGATACACAGCAAGATCACAATATTCGGTGCAGATTCCTTAAAGTGGTATTATCGTATAAGGCTTAAAAGTTCAAAGGGTTCATTGATTTAGACGTTTGCTGAAGTATTCACAAAATACTGCAATCTTCGTTTGGCATACAATTCCCCTTTGTTATATCTTCCTCAACTTCGCTAAGTGGGCAATCATTATTATCATCAAGCAGATTTGAGGTTGTAACGAAAGCATAGTTGTGTGCAAAGTCATGAATTTGCTGAAATCTACGACACATTACAATAGTCAACATGTATAGGACAGACAGCATTTCCTGTTGCAACTCAGCATCATGTCTCATTGATGTAGCAAACCAGCGTACACCTCACAATCGTTTCTTTTGTCAAATTCAACGCTACATGAGTACATCCAAGTTAGAGCGGATTTCTTTGGATGCATCCACTGCAATGTCCACCATATCTCCATTCCAGTGGTTCTCAACCTGGGGCTAATTACCTCCAAGGGTGTAAAGTGGAATTTTATGGGGGGAATATAATTCCGAGGATTTAGTCATCAATCTGTCGCCAAACAAAATTAATAGCAAAAGTACCTGTATCAAAACATTTAACTAGATTCCTAATCACTATTGATTAGAAATCAGTGACTAATCATTAATGAGTGGTCAGTGAATTAGACAATTTTCAGTAATAGATTTTATTACCTAAAATACAAATACAAGCCTGCAAAGCAGCGTAGCTAGATGGCGCCTCTATCGGCTCGCTCGTCGATTGTGGTTCTTTTGAGTCAGGTATTCTTCCGTCAGGTCAAACTACAGATTTGAGTGAACACTATGATGGGTGCATAAATCAGCTGACCAGGTCAAAGAGTGGCTGAATGTTTACCAGATAGAAGGCACAAAACGGGCGGTTAGTGTTCAGGATGCATCGATACAAGGGGTGGTGGAAAGCTGTCTCCCGGAAAGCAATCGGAAAGGATGGTAGAAACAAAGAAGCCACTGACCTCTGTCCATGTTTGGTCAGGGACCACACACTAAAGCAAGGAACCGAATGAACTTGGAGCACGACTTACGATGTTGTGCATTTGCGGAAACCGCAATAAAGATGCCGTAAGTTGTGTTGGTACTAAACATTATCAACCATCGTATTTAGTTACAGCACCTCTTGATTTAATAAAGTGGTGCTCTAAAATGGGTGTCCGCTTTGTTTGAATAAAAAAATTAGAATTAATGCTATTTTCTGTAATTTAAAGTAAGAGCGCAATAGTTTATAGGTATAATTAGCATTTAAACTAAGTCATTTTGAAGGTAAATTTTTGTAGTGAACCGGCTTTGGAGGTACTAATCACAAAAAGGTTGAGAACCACTGCTTGATTCCGAAAAAAGGCGAAACTTTTAACGTTGCGAGCTTGACAGAACTTAGCTGCAGATCCAGCCCTTTTGATTGAACATATCACTGTACATCATTGCTTTCTGGGGGAACATATCTACAAAATTTCAGAAGCAGAATAAACGGAAAAGTCAGTACGGATATGCGAATTAAAGATGCATCTGATCTTGCGGTTGCATTCTCCCCTTCTAATATGGGCTGTTCCAGAGTAATGACGATTTCCGAGTATTTCTTCACCACAACATTTATAGCGTCTACTCAACTACTCCATCCTCCTTTCACAGCCTGATTGATACTTAGACCGATCACTTGAATCGAGACGCTCCTGCGTTATGTAGTTGTGAAATAAAGGGAGGATAACCGATATATGACACAAAAAAGTAATAGAGTGAACCTGCAGGCACAAAAGTCAAGGAAGGGTTTGTGCATGCCAAAGTAGTAGCTTTTGGATTGATTTTGCAGATGCTTCTATGGACACGCGATCAGTAGTCCGCCATAACTGCGGTATTATCAAATGCATGGCCACGGTAGTCATCAATATGAATTCCGTCCTTTCCCAGTTCTGTCCAAATCAGTCCAGAAATTTCCTCCGTACTTATACTTTTGATCACAATGAGGCGGAGAAACGACCCAATCTTCACTTTATTTACATCCACTGTTAGCATAAAACGGCACCCATCTAATTTTTGTGAGATACACCGGGAGTGCCATCGAACACTAAGCAGAATAACAGCTTTGCCAAAAGGCTCACAAATTCATTTTGAACGTCTGAACAGGAGTCCAGGTATAAAGCATACCAGTGTGTTCAGTGATCTAATGCAACAGACCGTGTTTACGGGGTTTGCAGCTGACTTACATATGGTCTCACACTGGTTGCTGTTAGACTTGTTCCACAATCATAACTCCCGGTTTCTTGTTTGCTAAATTTACGCCTAGTGGTTTTCCTACGTAATTCCGATGCTTGCTCTTTACCTTTTATTCTGTTAGTGGTGTGAGTCAGGGCAAATGGATGTAGCATAGTACGGCGTTCGGATCATAGCTGACTAGTTTGGATGAATTGAATTTGCAAACCGCATGAGCGCCTGGCCGCATATGCCCGGATATCGGCTGAACCTGCAAGACCTCGACTGCTTAGAAAAGATGGCGTACTTTAATGAATCCGTTCGCAGTTTCCTGTGTAGACCATTCGTTGGAAGTTTAAAACTGACCACAAGTGACCGTGGGCTTATGTTACCCAAGAATTGTACACCACTTTCACCGGAGTAACCGAGTTAGTAGCTCGGAGAAGGACAATTCTCAGTGAGCGAAACAATGAACCAAATGGATGTACAGATCTGCGCACGGATTAGTCGAATTGAACGTCGGACAAGGCATTTCGAAGAGAAACTTCAATGCCAAGATGTCTTGCTGAACTCTGTTGCATCTCCTGAACTGGTTTTGCACGTCAACGTAGAGCCGGCTAGAGCCTACAAGAAGTGATCTGAACAAGTGCATTCGTGTAATTATTGTCTCAGCTACAATCTCCGCACTATGGAAGAAAATAAACAAATCTTATGTGGTTGTGATTTTCAGCCGCCAATTCAAAACCTAAAAAGAGCAGTGGAGTAATATGCGAAAATCCGCGCTTTAAAGACAGTGGTCAGCCTAGTCGATCATTCTCGATCTGAAACGGCGTCTCCTTGAAGTATACAAAAGTTCTGTCTGCCGATTGATGAAAGGACTGCACACCTGTCTTGTAATCCGGTCACCAGTTCGTATGCGCGTAGGTGTGGGCGACCTCACGGTGATAGATATCAGCAGTACGTTGGTACGGAGCACTGACGTTTCGCTGCTGCGCAAGCACCACCAGTCGTGCGTGGACTAAGGATATCGCGAGGGTTGCCCGGTCCCCCACACAGCAGAAAGCTCGCAACATCAGGATCACAATACATGCTTGTAATCCTTAAGGCCACGGGTCGGCATACGCAGCCTACATGTGAGATTATGTGTGATCGCGTGATAGCGAAGCCCCAGCACGATATTCCGGCGTATTGCTGACGTCCTTTTTCATTTAAATGTCCTAGGCGCGTAGGTAGCGGTGGAGCCTACGATGGATTGCCAGACGCTTTCCGGAGTAGGGTGCACCAAGGTTATGCAGTTCCCAGATTTCTGTTAGAATTTATAGCAAACCCCATCATGAAATGTTTACTTAATGTGTTTCAGAATACTGGTTTTAGGGTCGTACTCATGGGAAAACTGGATGGTTTAGCTTATGAGGACTACATTGTCATCCCGCTAAACAATGGCGTGGCGGGACTAGACCACTGATATCTATAGCACAGCAATGAGTCCTCCCCTCTATAAGATCCTCCGGACGCCTTCGGGTCTTGCACTATAGAAACCAGCGCTGAGTGAACTGCACTG